TTTTTCCTCTGTTTTTCACGCCGTCCAAATGCTAATCCCTGTCCCTCAAAGCCTCGGCCACCCCGATGCAGTCCGTGGTGGTCAATCTTACTATTTAACCTATCCCCCCCCGCCTGTCTTTCTGTTTTCGTTTCCTTCTGTCGTCGGCTTCTTCTCGCCTCTGCTTTGTAACAGTCCCTTCCCTTTGGGGTCTTATCTCTCTTTTCAGAGGGCTCAAACAACGTGAGAAGAACCGGTATTCTGTTTAAGTAGCGGGAGTACCTGCCGCTAGTGAAGCAGGTTTCGTTCCTGAGTCCCCGCAGACTTCTGCCCACCATCCGAGCGCATTCGGTACAATGGGCTTCATCGGAGAAAAGAACGATGGCATCTCGCCGGAGATGAATAGAGAGTTGTCCGGCGACATCACCAAGGTGGAGGAGGGTATCGTCGCGGGAGAGCAGCATGACCTCCACCGAGACCTCAAGGCCCGTCATATTACTATGATTGGTACGGTGCCATGCTTGGATTCGCTGGTGAAGCACAAAGAGCTAACAGAAAGCAGCCATCGGAGGTGCTATCGGTACCGGTCTAATTATTGGAACAGGAGAAGCTCTTGCAAAGTAAGTCCTTTTCAGAACCTATAGAAAGCCAACTTGGGATGCTAATGCGCGATTCACTTTTAGGGCTGGCGTAAGTTCCGATCGTCTTGATGCTTCTAGCGAAATTGCTCTCTAACTTTCGATTAGCCTGCAGCTATCTTAATCTCTTATTCCATTGTCGGTCTTGTCGTCTATACCGTCATGTGCGGCCTGGGAGAAATGGCCTCCTGGCTACCTTTGTCTTCTGGTTTTACTGGCTACGCTGTTCGATTCTGTGACCCGGCTCTTGGCTTTGCTCTGGGATGGACGTAAGTGATACTGTTATACCCTAGGGGTTGTGGTAACTGACGAATGCTTTCCCCCAAAGATACTGGTTTAAATATATTATTCTCACACCGAACCAGCTAACAGCTGGCGCGATGGTCATACAATATTGGATACCGACAGAAAGAGTGAACGCAGGTGTTTGGATTACAGTGTTCCTTGTGATCATTGTTTCCATTAATTACTTCGGCGTCAAGTTTTTCGGCGAATTCGAGTTTTGGCTGTCCTCTTTCAAGGTGATAGTCATCCTCGGCATCATCTTGCTCTCTTTCATTTTGATGCTGGGAGGCGGACCCGATCACGACCGGAAAGGATTCCGCTACTGGAAGAGCCCAGGCGCCTTCAATACGTATATCGCTGATGGAGATGCCGGACGCTTCTTCGCGTTCTGGTCGACTATGGTTTCGGCAACGTTCGCCTATCTGGGTACGGAGTTGATCGGTGTAACTGTCGGAGAGGCTCAGAATCCCCGCCGAACCATCCCCCGCGCGATCAAGCTTACCTTCTATCGAATTGTCGTCTTTTATGTGACCAGCGTCTTGCTCGTCGGTACCCTCGTCCCCTACAACTCAGACGAGCTCATCTTTGCCACGAAGCAGTCCAGCTCCGCTGCTGCATCGCCCTTCGTGGTGGCGGTGGTGCTTGCCGGTATCCCGGTTCTTCCCCACATCCTGAATGCATGCATTCTGTTGTTCGTCTTCTCCGCATCCAACTCCGATTTGTATATCGCGACCCGAACCATTTACGGTCTGTCTCGGGAAGGCAAAGCACCAAAGTTCCTATCGCGCACCGACAAGCGTGGTGTCCCCGTCTACGCCCTGATTCTGTGTGCCCTGATTGCCTGCCTTGCCTACATGAACGTTTCCAGCGACTCCAAGACCGTCTTCGGCTACTTCGTCGACCTCGTGACCATCTTCGGTCTTCTGGCCTGGATCTCCTTGCTGGTCACGCACATCCACTTCATCAACGCCCGCAAGGCCCAGAATGTCCCCGAGCACGAGCTAGCCTACAAGTCTCCCTTTGGCAAGACGGGCGCTTACATCGCCCTCGCATTCTGCATCCTCATCGCCCTGACGAAGAGTTACGACGTCTTCACCCACAACCCTAAGTGGGGCAACTTCAACTACAAGAAATTCATCACGGCCTATCTAGGCATCCCTCTCTACTTGATTCTGATCTTCGGCTACAAGATCTTCACCGGTGCCAAGGGAGTGAAGCCCGAGGAGGCCGATCTCTGGACGGGCAAAGACATCATCGATCGCGAGGAACAAGAGTACTTGGCCCGGAAGGCTGTTCTGGATGAACAGCGTGGCACTGGAAGCTGGTTCTACAGGAACTTTGTGTCCTGGCTCTTCTAGAGGACCTTTTGTCGTATGTATTTATGTTCATGGTTATTACTATGCTATGAGATAATGAAGACTCCGATCATATGCTAGTGTTTCTGGTTGAGGTTAGCTGGTAGAATACCTGTAGACTTGCCTTGTCTATTTGATGTTGTAGTGACCGTATGACTGGTTATTGGTTGGGATTTATGAATAGTATTCACAGTCTTCATCGGGTAAGTATAATAGAATTGACATATAACTAAAGCACTATGTAGAGCTCTGTAAATCTTCAACAACCACTATAGAAGTCTTGTTCATTAATCATAGCCTCATCTCAGATATCCACAATTATAGTGTAAGAAAGGAAAAAGAAGAAAAAAGGGGGAAAATCGACACCAATAATAATCAAAAGAGCAATCGGTCTTGTGCAAAGCTATACCCAAGGCAAAAAGAAATCTTCTACCTCCGTCGTCGTCGTCGGAGCTCCCAATTCTGTTCCTCCTCGTCCTCTTCCCCATCTAGATCGAACGGCACCCATTCATTATCCAGCATGTCCTCGGGGAAGGGGATTGGGGTGGTTTTCACAATTGATGTTGAATCTATGTTTACTTCGGGGCGAGAATCAGAGACACTCTCCGGGGGGCTTGCTCTCGTCGAGTCATCGTGGACAAGGAGGTCGGCGTCCCAGTTTATGTCTGCTTTGGTGGCTGGGGAGGCGGTTTCTTTGACGAGGAACTCGCCCAGTTTCAGGACAACGTTGTAGATCTCTTTTCCTGTGGGCACGATGTACTCGGACGGGATGAGGAAGCCGTAGCTTCCGCGGTCGCGCAGCTTGATTTGGTATGCGTAGCTGGCGTGGAGTTGGTGGTAGAACCAGTCCAGGGCGCTGCCACCCGAGGTCCCGCTGATGGGGAAGAAGGTCTTTGCGGAGGCTTTGTCCGTGGCTGTCACGGTTCCTTCGCAGGCGGAGGTGACATCGTAGATCTCGTGCGTGGTCTGGCGGATCACTTTGGCGAAGCCCATGCCTAGCTCTTCGAGGGTTTCGAGGGTGGGTGGGACTGACGAGCAGGAGAACGAGAAGGGGTAGAGGACTTGTTGGGAGTATGAGTGGAGGTCGAGGAAGCCTACGATTTCGGCGTTGTTGTTTTGGGTCTCGTTGAGGGCCCATTGCGCGAATTGCGCGGCTTCTAGTCCTTCGAATGGCTCGTCGCCTGCGTAGTTCTCGGAGCAGGGATTGGAGCGGGTTCTCTCGCCGTCCCATTCGAAACTCCAGGATCGGTCTAAGTCAATTCCCGGACAGAAGCGGAGACTGGTACGCTGTCTGTTTTTGCGCCATAGGCGGTCGACTTCCCAGGTGTAGACGTATCCGTCCGGGTTGATGGTTGGTACGAGGATGACGTCAAAGTCTTCCAGCAGGCGGGTTACCGCTTGGGATTTGCCGAAGTTGGTGATCAGATTCGAAGCAACGTACGTGACTGTGGAGGTGCTGATCCATTCTCGCGCATGGCTGCCCCCGACCATGACAATGGTCCGGCGAGGGGCTGACTGTACTCTGTGGCTTCCAGCACCGAGTCGGAGTGCAGGGATCTCTCGGCCTTCGTATGAAATTCCCACGTTGATCATACGGACATGGGATGGGAACATAGAGGCCATCAGGCGCATCCACGGGACAATGACGGAAAGTGGCTGATAATCTTGGAAAAAGAGGTCCCCGAGCTGAGCCGACTGTCGGACGGAAGGCCGGAATCCCGGCTGGCCCTCTAGTCCTATGGGTCGTCGAGTTGGATAGGTTGTATATATCAGCTCCGGTAGGTTGTCAATAAGAGGGGCATAAGCGGTGCGAAGGGAGTCTGGCAGTAAGCCCAATAACGAAGGAATCTATGGGAAGAACGTTAAGATGGGATCGGCCTGCATAGGAGAACGGAGAAAGTAATTAAGACTTACGACTTCTTCGGCCAGTCGAACATCAACAAAGTCAGAGGCGGAAGCCCAGACATCCAGAAAGAGAATCTCTGTCGCCTGCTCTAAGGCTTCGGCTTCTTTGTGATTGCGCAAACGGAATCGCAAAACCACATCGCTGCCGTACCGCGCTTGAACCCGAGACGGCGGAGAGTGATCGTGCGAAAGGTCTTTGAAAGGGAGCCGAGAAGAGGTTGGTTTTGGAAGGCCCCAGATGGTCTCAATTATCCAGTCTCTTGCTCGGGTCCATGGCCGTCTGAGATCGGACGACTGTGGGGATAGTAGCTGGACGGGCTCAATCGGCGGTGGTGGAGTGATACTGGAGCCTGCGGGGACGGCGGTTGTCAGAGCGGCCAAAGCCACCAGGATGATGAGAAAGAGGTAGCGCATCTCGGTGGTAGTCAAATCGCAGAAGAGCTATGCCAAAATCCTCATTGTCAACTCTTGAAGTGAATTCCAATCGAGCGGGACTAGACAGCGACTGGGGGAAAAAAAGGATGAAAGAGGCATGGAGTGAAGTGACATGAGATGGATGACGAGCCATGGGCCGCGGCTGCTGCCTGAGGCTGACATCTGACAGTGCCTCAGGCAGAGCGGCCCGCTCTGCCGGCAGAAGCGTACAGATCGTTTTCGGATTTCCTGCCGGGCACCACCTTAACAGGATCCAGGTTTTACCGAATTCTATAGTTATAAGGAAAAGATGCTCTTGTCATGGCTACTCATAGAGCAGACTTTCGTTGGAAGCTCGCGGTAGTTGATCCCAGGGTCCGGTCGTAATATTACCATATACATTCGCATCCTTGGGAAAAATAAACCGATCCAACTCCATTTTCCGCACCAAGGCTTACCTTTAGGCAAATTAAGGAGTCATTGTCCCCAATACGGTACTACAATGTCAGCGTATTCCGGTTCTTGCAGAGAGTTACAATGCCAGCGCAGAGCGAAGTGGTCAACTTGGCATGTAACCGATAGCCGAACGGTGGCCCAGCTCCCGCGGGTTGGTTCGGGAAGCACTCGACCTGAATACACCAAGAAAGCCCTATCTAGGCGTTGGGTCAGGGTACCAATTGAAGATACTTCCGCTTGCTCCGAAAGGGAAAATATTGGTCAGGAAAGCGCAAGGAGCGATTGAAGGAGACAGCCCTTACTGGGGGTAGAGGGGAGAAGGGACCAGGGAAGGGAATGCTACCGCCGCCCGTTCCAACACGCATCCTTCAATCCTGACGCCGTCTCCGCGCCCCGTTTTGTATACTAGTCGAAGGATGAGCTAGAACGGGGTGGAATTATATGAAAGATCAAGAATTAAGTCGACCGTTGCACTGCTGCAGGCCAAATCAGCTGTCAGGTCGAATGACGGACCCCCACTGGCTCCACTCGCATTCCGATAAAGTTTTTAGGCCATTCTAGACCGCGAACGAGGCGCTTCTTGAGGCCGTTGCGAGCATTGAAAGATGAACATTTCCAATCCCAGCATTATGGTTCTTGTAGATCCGGCCTGAGACGCGTCCGGAATGGCCGACCAGAATACCATCCATCAGCAACCGGCAAAAGGCAACGTACTCCCTGAATCATTGAACTTTTATATCACCGCCATCCAAAGGGAGCCCCGGTCTGGAAGCCCTGCTTGGCATACCCGAAACAAAGCTCCAATTTTTTGATTCGTGGCCTGTGGTGCTGACGCGTTCGTTGGTCTGGCTCGCTGGTTTTGCAGTTCTTCCCAGGGCTGTATGTAGGATTCTAGAATCATACGACGAACTGTTTACTGGGACTTCAGCGGAGTGAAACTTTACAGCAAGGACATACCAATGCATGTCACTCTCACTCTCTTGGGTTATTTCTAATACCATCAGCAGGGTATTCTTTCGCTTTGATTTCTATTTTTTTTTTTTTGTTTTTTCTTTTAAGAAAAAATTTGAATTATATTATCGTCTTTATTATATGAAAAGGGAACAGAAAAGAAACACTGTCTCAGCTATTTATATGACGACGCCCGATATCACGTGGGTTTGGTGAACTATGGAACACCGCAAGGGTCTCCGAGTTAAAAACCTGTCTTTCCAATCCTTACAGATGACAATGATTATTGTCTAGGAGACTCGAGGCTCGGTTGAGATAGACCACCGCTGGGTATTGGATTCATTTGTACTCTGTACATACTTGTATATACCTATGGGATCTTCCCGGAAAAGGGACATGTCATGTGAGTGCGAAGGAAGTTCATTCTGATGTCATTTTTTTTTACAATACATGGATGGATTTTAAGGTACACGTATACTTAATCAGTGGTACTTCAGTGGTGTATGGGTTTGTCTAGATTAACGTGTGTACCTTGGATTATTAAATCCCGCCTAAACTAAGTACAGCATCCAAGTTAAAGATAGAAACAACCCACTTGAAGGAAAACTGAGGATATGACCGATCCAATATTGTGACAGGATTTCTACATATTGTAAAATGTGTCAAGAAATTTTAAGATCAGGAAAGTAAGAAAAATAAAATAACGTATAGTAAAAGCAAACAATCTAAATAACCCAGTAAGGAAAAAAAAAAGAAAAGGAAATTGTGCATACCGGAAGAACACGTGCCTGGGGTGCATTTGCTCGGCCCGTCATCAGAAACTCCACCATCTTCATCATCGTCGTTATTCTTCTTCCCTATGCCTGTCCTTGCCAACAACCCTGCCCCATTCTCACACCTTATCCCTTCCTCCGCACTCGGTTTTTTTTAATCCTTGATTCCCTCACTTCGCACCGTCGTGCAATCTTTCATTTACTACTGGAAAGGGCATTGACTGCTCCTCCGCTCCTATTTTCCCCCAAAACATTGACAGCCTCCCCTCATTTCCTTGTTTTTACTTGTTCCTCAGCCTTCGCAACCTAATCCACCCCATTCGTCCGCGCTTCCACACTTCGGTCAAGCGTGAGCTGGGCAATGTAAGAGCTCCAACCATTGTTCTCGAAATCATCTTCTGGGCCACCAATTTCCCATCTGGCGATCGACTCTTGCCGTACCCCTGCCCCCTTTTTACGATTCCGCGCCTCCGCCTCCGCCAACAGCTCTGTCGCTCTTCTACC